TCAGCAGGAGGATTCATAAGAATAACTTAGTCAGTCATGAATAGAAACCAGAAGTCTCAATCACCCTCTTTCCCCCATTGAACTTCAAGTGCTTCCAAAGCCTCATTTATCACCTTAGGCATTTCTGAGTGCTAGTCTCTGTCTAGAAATATTTGCCTGTTTTGGCATCTGCAAAATGTAATGATAATAGAAGCCTGCCTCATAAGGTTATGAGGAGGAAATGAGTTAATGTATGCATTTGTGCAACATGTAAAATGCTCAGAACTGTGCCTTGTACATAGAAAGTGTTCCTAGACATTGGCCAGTTTTATTAGAGGTCTCAGTACATGCATTCTTAGGCTCCCAATGATTAAATATTTGTCGATTTTTCTGAATCAACATGATGATTTCCAACTAGTTCTGACTATGACTAGGTGAGGTGAGGATTTACCTAAGCCACACCCTACCCGTGAAAGTCCCACTCACTAGGATTTCCTTGAACATCCTGTGAATCAGGAAGTCTCATGGACCAGCTGTCTCTTCCCTCCTCAAAACTCTCCACGAAGCTCCACTGGGGAGGCGAGAGGGAACAATTCAGATGAAAGACCGTTGAACCAGGACTGAGGCCATCTCCATCTAGCTCTACCACTGCCTTGCTGAGGGAACCTCAGGTAAACAATTTTATAGGATCCTTTCCACGTATTCCACTCCAGTCCTGTGGTCCTCTGGCCTGCTCAGTCTGAAACAATGTCCTCCTCTACTACTGGCTCCAAAATCTACCTATTCTCTAAGGCATACTTCAAATACCACCTCTTCTCAGCCATACAAAAAGAATGAAATAATGCCATTTGCAGCAACATGGATGGACCTAGAGATTATCACACTAAATGAAGTAAGCCAGACAGAGAAAAACAAATATCATGTAATATCGCTTATATGTGGAATCTAAAAAAAAATGCAAATAAAATTATTTTACAAAACAGAAAGAGACCCACAGACATAGAAAAGAAACTTACGGTTACTAAAGGGGAAAGGGTGGGGGGAGGGATAAATTAGGAGGTTGGGATTAACATATACACACTACTATATATAAAATAGATAACCAACAAGGACCTACTGTATAGCACAGGGAACTATACTCAATGTTTTGTAATAACCTCTAAGGGAACAGAATCTGAAAAAAATATATATATAGGGCTTCCCTGGTGGCGCAGTGGTTGAGAGTCCGCCTGCCGATGCAGGGGACACGGGTTCGTGACCCGGTCCGGGAAGATCCCACATGCCGCGGAGCGGCTGGGCCCGTGAGCCATGGCCGCTGAGCCTGTGCGTCCGGAGCCTGCGCTCCGCAACGGCAGAGGCCACAACAGTGAGAGGCCCGCGTACCGCAAAAAAAAAATATATGTGTGTGTGTGTGTGTGTGTGTAACTGAATCACTCTGCTGTACAGCTGAAACTAACATACTGTAAATCAACTCTACTTCAATAAGATACAAATAAAAACTAAACACAAATACCATCTCTTGCAAAAGGTGCAGCGCACCTCCAAATTATTTCTCCGTTTCTAACTCACAGCTGTAAACCAATTGCTAGCATAGTAAGTTTATGTAACCATTGATTGATCGGATTAATTCACTTTAACTTTAGAGTAAATATGAACAAATCAACTGTCTTTTGAAATTGTTTCCGGGACTTCCCTGGTGGCACAGTGATTAAGAGTCTGCCTGCCAACACAGAGGACAGGGGTTCCATCCCTGGCCCCGGAAGATCCCACATGCCACGGAGCAACTAAGCCTGTGTGCCGCAACTACTGAGCCTGCACTTTAGAGCCCACAAGCCACAACTACTGAAGCCCGTGTGCCACAACTACTGAAGCCCGTGTGCCACAATTACTGAAGCCCGTGAGCCTAGAGCCCATGCTCTGCAACGAGAAGCCACCACAGTGAGAAGCCCACACACTGCAAGGAAGAGTAGCCCCCGCTCGCCACAACTAGAGAAAACCCACGTGCAGCAACGAAGACCCAACGCAGCCAAAATAAATTTTAAAAAAATAAATTAAAATAAATAAAATAGTTCGCCACTTGATAAATATACTAGAAAGTTGACCCAAGAGACCGAATGAAGCTTTAAATTCCAAAGCTTTAATTTAAGTCAAGTAGCCCGGGACTTCCACGGTGGCTCAGTGGTTAAGAATCCACCTACCAATGCAGGGGACACAGGTTTGAGCCCTGGTCTGGGAAGATCCCACATGCCGTGGAGCAACTAAGCCTGTGCGCCACAACTGCTGAGCCTGTGCTCTAGAGCCCATGAGCCACAATTGCTGAAGCCCACACACCTAGAGCCCGTGGTCCGCAACAAGAGAAACCACTGCAGTGAGAAGCCTGTGAACTACAACGAAGAGTAGCCCCCACTCGCCGCAACTAGAGAAAGTCTACACGCAGCAACGGAGACCAAGCGCAGCCAAAAATAAATAAGTAAATAAATAAGTCAATTTAAAATAAATAAATCAAGTGGCCTTCACTTGATATAAACTCACACACCCAGGAACACCGTGGGATCAGAACATTCTTTCACAAGCAGGCATTACTGGTGTGTTACGTGCATGTCACACTTAGGGTCTGATGAACGTGACATCATTTCGTTCCTCACATCCACTACTAATTTCCACAAAGGGAAGGATGTTAAAAAATATAACCATCTGTGCACCATATCAAATCATAAATAAATATATTATTTATATATGTTCTAAGCCTTTAAAAACCAAGCTGTATTGTATATTGGCATTTCGATACAATAACACACAAAAAATTTTTTCAGTTATCTGATTACTCTGCTTTCCCTTATCATCAGGATATAATTAAAGTATTTAAAAGTTAGATCACCAGTTGCTCTTTTTTTTTAGTATATGTGCTGCCGAAGCGAGCACACCAGTTGCTCTTAATGAGCTATCCTTTGTCAATGTCAGAAAGAGGGAATGAGAAAATGACTGGGAAGAGGCTCCTGGGGAAAATCTGAAGATTCTGTCCCATACTTCGGCAGAACTGTGGGCCACCACAGAGGATTTGGGGGAGGGACTCAGAAGCAAAGGGCCGTTTTGCAGATCGCTTGATTTTAACAGCTATGACTTGCAGACAAGATAGCCAGGGTGGAGAAAGGGTGGGTGATAAAGCAATTGCAAATAGCTAAAATGAACATCAGCTTCTAAGCAATGAATTAATTCAAGAAGAAAGTTTTAGGATTTTGTCAACTTCAAATGAGAAGTCTGCTGGTGATATCTGGCTTTGGAGATAAGTAGTATCTTTTCTTTCCCTTTCTCTTAAAAAATAAAAAGTGTGTGTGGGCGAGGAACATCCTCCCATATATCAATGTTTGGCATGAAGAATCTCTTAATCCAGGAAGCAAAAGTCTACTACACAACTGGGACCTTTTATTGAAAATGTAGGCAAGGACTTGCCTGGTGGCACAGTGGTTAAGAATCCGCCTGCCAATTCAGGGGACACGGGTTCGAGCTCTGGTCTGGGAAGATTCCATATGCTGTGGCGCAACTAAGCCCGTGCGCCACAAAGACTGAGCCCGAGCTCTAGAGCCCTCGAGCCACAACTATTGAGCCCTTGTGCCACAACTACTGAAGCCCACGCGCCTGGAGCCCGTGCTCCGCAACAAGAGAAGCCACCGGTATGAGAAGCCCGCACACCGCAACGAAGAGAGTAGACCCCCACTCGCCGCAACTAGAGAAAGCCCGCCTGCAGCAACAAAGACCCAACGCAGCCAAAAACGAATAAATAAATTTATTTTTTAAAAAAATGTAGGCAAAGTGGTCATCTATCACAATGTTCACCAGGATGGTGCTTGAAGCCAAGCCTAAGGCTGCCAGGAAGCAGTAGTTACACAAATTGAACACTGAGGCCCTGGAGTGAGATGCCAGATTAGCGCCTCATCCCAGGAAGAGAAAACCATCAGCCTGGATCAGGAGAAAAACTCATCAAAACACAACTTTTAGACATGCACGTATGTAATAGTGCTTCCAGGGGCCAGGGCACATTGGGTGAGGATGCTAATTGCTCTTACATTGTTTCTTCCCTCATGTAACTTTTCACCTAATTAACCTTATTAAGTGTTCGCTCTTCAAAGGGCATCTTTTCTCTTTTTCTTGCCATGACACACAGGTTGTGGGATCTTAGTTCCCCGGTAAGGGATCAAACCCGTGCCCCGTGCAGTGGAAGTGTGAGTCTTAACCACTGGACCGCCAGGGAATTCCCCAAAGGGGAATCTTTTCATTTCTTTTGAATAAACATTAGTCAGCAGCCCACAGTAGTCAACATTTAACCCTGAGTACATCTAAGTATGTGAGACCTCAGTGGAAAAACAATGGTAAGGAAGACCATCTAATAATGTCATTAGTTTCCACCCAAGAGAAACAGTTAGCAGGAGCACTGACTTGCATCATCTCTCCTTCCTCCCATCCCACCCCCATCACCACCTGAGGGTGAAAGAGCAGGGACAGGGGTCAACTGGTATGAGGCCAACTATGTACAACCTGCCCCAACTCTTGACTATTCTGGGAAGGAAAACCCCTTCACTGCCAACTCAGAAAGCACTGCTGCTTCAACAGGACCACCGCTCACTCGCTGAAATTTGAAGACCTGGATTCCAGTGCAGGGTGAGTCCTATCACCCCCAGGGCACCCTCCACAACTGTCTACTTTTACCTCCAAAATATTGATACAAAGATTTCTTTAGCAGCAAATATACCTATGAACACAAGGTCCTCTGTGCTAGGAAAGAAGTACTCTTTGAAAGGGGGCTATATTTACAAGTTTTATTATTTTTTATTCCAAAAATACATATAAATGAAAACCTGCTCTTCAAATGCAGGGAGGCCTTTGCCTATAATGCAGTATTACATTTACATCACAAAACATTCTCATAGGAAAATCAATATGCAGCTCTTTCACACACAATTTTTTAAATATATACTACACACACACACACACACACAGACACTCACACACACACACACACACACACACACACACACACACACGATGTAAGCAGTTATGACTTTTCTACTTACACATATTCCTCTGGTGGAAAATTAGGAAACTGGGCAATTCCCAATTGCCCAGGTAAATACAACCTCTCTGAACATTTTTTTAAAAAGATGAAAACATGTAAACCACACAACACATACACATTGTTAGAATAAAGCAAGGACCCTGCCACATAAATGACAGTGTGTTTCTCAAAGAAGGAAGAATGGAGATAACCTCTAAATAAAAATGCAAAGTTGTAGATCAAAATTGTTCTGTACACGCTCCATGGAGAAATCAGAGTTCTCTCACAGGAAACAGATCCACGACCCATTTCAGCCTCTCGTGACATGTAATCAGCACCCACTGGTAGTGGCCATGACCTTCCTGTACAGTCATAAGCTTAAGCAGGCTCCACAAAGCATCCGTTTAAGTCCAACAGTCAATAATGAGGTCATGTGGTAAATCTCCCCCACCCCCCTGCCCACCCCCAAACAACGAAGTGCAAAATCAATTTCTATGACTCAAGAGCTCAACCAGGTCACAGCTTTGGTATACTCTGGAGGCTGTTTTGGTGATAACCAAAGCTTAGTAAGATTCTCCGTTCAGGGGTTTGCCCCCAAGACAAAAACAAACCCGGTCCACAAAGCTTAACAACAATATAAATAAAGTAACTGTACAAAGAAAGCAAGCCACAATCCCCTTCAACCAGGGCTTTATAGTTTCCTGCACAGTAGTTCTGAAAGCACCAACTCAAGCCACGATGCTTCTACTAAAACACGATGTGTTGGTGAGACTGTTCAGAAAACAAATGCCCACAGCATGTGCATGTGGCTGATGTGCCACAGAAAAAAGTTCAACCAAACATAAGTCAGTTTTCTTACACTGAAACGTAAGCTGGTCAGCAACAGAAGAAAGACTTAAGGCAATAAGAGGCGTTACAGAGAGCACGGCGGTGCCCTTTGAGTCAATCCCAAAGCTTTCGCAGAAAGAAAAGGTCTCTCGAGAGTTTGGCTTGTGCTTCAGTCTGCTAGCTGTCAGACACCTCCTCCTCCTCCTCGTCATCCTCATCTTCTTTCCTGTCCACTTCAGACGTGTCCGAGGACTCGTGGAGCAGAACATACTCTCTGCTGCTGA